CACATGTTCGGCCGTTATGGCTGCCAAAAGGGAAGCTGGTCCCTTCATCTTCTCCCCAGGGAGGGTGAAGCCTTATGGAAGCTTTTTTATATTGTGCAATCTCACCTGTTAGTTCTTGGTTTAATTACTATGCTTGGGGTCCTTTTGGGAAAACTTTGTCTATGCTGGTAACTGGAAGTATTTCCATGTAAGTTTTGATGATTCACTTCTTATATTAAGTTCTTTGACCCATTTTGATGTTTGTACTGAATGAGAAATAAAGATCTAATTTTGTCTTTTCACATGTAGAAGTCCAGTTTCCCCAGCACCATTCATTAAGGGGGGTGTCTTTCCCTCCAGTGCGTGTATTGGGTACGTTTGTCAAAAAAGCAGGTATCTGTAGCTGCGTGGTTTTGCTTGTAGGCCCTTCATTCTGTTCAGTTGAGCTACCTGTCTGCTTTTTGTTACTTCGATGCTGCTTGTCACCTGGTCTCTGAACAACCTGAGATCAGGATTGCTATTCTATTAGAGGTCTTTATGAGTTTGGGTTTTTTCCCCCATTTCTGAGATGAATGTTTATTGGGATTTTGGTGGGGATTGCATGGAATCTGTACACTGTTTTTGGTAAGATAGATATTTTCATATTGCTTCTGCTGATCTATGAGAAAGAAGTCTTTCTGCAGTCTGGTGTTTTGTGGTGATCTTTTGTTTGTGCTTTAACAAATAAAGCCTGCTTGAAGATCAGAGTGCAGAGGTAAACCACTAGTTAGCCATAGAGGCCAAGTAGTGGTGGTACACACCTTTAATCCCAGCACTCGGAAGGCAGAGGCAGACAGATTTCTGTGAGTTCAAGGCCACCTTGGGCACATGAGATTGATCCAGTCTAAAAGAGAAACAGAACCGAACCAGGTGATGATGGCTCCTACCTTCAATCTCAGTATTTGGGAGTCACAGGCCTTTAATCCCAGTGCTAGGAACATGGAGATAGGAAGGGATATGGCTGGGTGGAGAGGGGAATATAAGGCAGGAGGTGACAGGAGCACACGTGCTACAATGTTTTCTTCAATTTCTTTTGAAGTGTTGATTATAGAGCTCTTTTATTTCCTTGGTAAGGTTTGTTTGTAGGTATTTCATCTTAGTGTTTTTAAAAAGATTTTTTATTTATGTTTATTTTATGTGTGAGTGCTTTGCTGGCATGTCTGTGAGTGCACTGCTTGCATGTCTGGTGGGCATGGAGGCTGGAGGACGGCTTCATATCCTTTTGAACTAGAGT